TAAGGAATGTTAACAAACCAATACTTGGTAGATCAATATGCGAAAATTTAATCTGAGAGATTGGCCGACATCCGTAATAATCGAACTAAATTGAGAGCAGAAAATTACATTCATCTTTAGGATGCTTTACAAGCGAATGAACACCGCAACGGCAGTGGGCAGTTGATTATACTACCTTCATCATTCACAGGTGGACCTTAATAGTTACAAGAAAAATCGCAAGTCGCCATGACTTACGGGCCGATGTCAGCTAATACTACTAACTCAGATTTAACCAACAGTGCCGAATACACAAGAGAAACATCATACGATCAAACGAGACTTTTACAAAATATAGCTCAAAATCAGATCAGAAAGAAGTATTCAATGCAATGAAGGGAAATTGCTTTTCCTTGATGTCCTAAGATGCTCATTAATAGTCTGAGACGAAGCTACCATGTCAAACGAGACGTCTGTGGAAGCACTGGATAGGACAAGGCGCGATTTGAGCAACAAAAAATTCACTTATGGGTCGATGTACAATTCTGTTCTCAGGAGATTTCAGTCAAATCCTACCAGTTGTGACTCGAGAAACACATGCTGACGAAATAAATGCTTCTCTAAAAAGACCCAACCTGTGGCTACATGTTAATAAATTAGAGCTTAGAACTAATATGAGGGTTTCGTCATCTTCTTGTGAGAACAGGCTATTTCCAGGGATGTTGCTAAAAGTTGGCAATGACGAGTTAACACAAAGTGAGGGAAGGATTAACATAGAAAATCATTGTGTTTTGATAGACAAGAGTTAACTTGATTCTTTCAAAGATTGATCCGTCGACGAATATATACTACTCGGTCGATACTGTTCTCGATTTGGAAGAAGATGTTTATTTTCCTACAGAATTTCTAAACTCTTCGAACCTGTCCTGACTCCCTTCCCACAAAATGGTGTTGAAAATAGGTTGTCCTGTTATTTTATTAAGAAACCTGAATCCACCTAAACTTTGTAATGGCACGCGTTTGCTGGTAAAATCACTGAAAAATTTCATAATAGAGTACACAGTACTCACAGGATGTGTTACCGGAAAAGATGTATTGATTCCCCGAATTCCTCAGATACCATCGAATTTACCCTTCTAATTTAAACGTTTACAGTTTCTGGTAAAGACATCTTTTGCAATGACCATTAATAAATCGGAGGATCAAACTCTCATCGTTGAAGGCTTAGATTTTAGCGTTGACTGTTTTTCACATGGCCAACTGTATGTCGCTCTTTCAAGAGTAACCTGTAGAGAAAACATGTTTGTATTGTCTAATGACAAGAAAGTTGTGAACGTTGTATATAACGACATTCTGTAATATATCAATTGTTGTAAAAATAAATTAAATAGATAAAAATGTAAAAATTATATATGTAAGTAAAAATCTAGTGTATGAATTTAGATATTCCAAAGATAGCAGGAAATCTTCATGGTATAGGGAAAGGGGAATTGTTTTACTCCAAATTTAACTCGTGCGGCCACGGGCAGTAATGAATAAATCAAAACTACATATATCACAAAATTTTCTCAGGCGGACACTCACCGTCGGACGACTTTTGTTCGCCTAAGAGAGGTGTCCACTTAAGGGAGTGGGTAGCTATTTTATAACAAAATTTTTTTAAATTAATTTAATTTATTACTCACCAATTTATTATTTAAAAAAATTTGTCATATTATATTGCTGAAACAATAATTTTTGTATTACTTCAAAAGTCCATTTAAATACTGTATGGTAACAATAACAAAAACAAATAAGGAAGGGCTAAGTTCGGATGTAACCGAACATTTTATACTCTCGCAAAGTCAAAATGTATACTCATTTGAGATTTCTTTATATATTTTGCTTGATTTGCATAGTGGAAAGTGAAAGAATCAGATGGAATTTAAAATTGTGTTGTATGAGAAATAGGCGTGGTTGTAGTCCGATTTCACCCGTTTTCGCACTGTAGCATATAAATGTAAGAAGAATGTTATAAGTATACCGAATTTGGTTAAAATATATACCAAATAACAGTCTTGTATCTTATTGTGGAGCTTAGTTATGGCAATTTATTTGTTTTTGATTAATGGCGTGGCAGTGATTGCGCCTATCTGCAATACCAACCGTCTTAAGGTGCCAGGGAACATGTGTACCAAGTTAAATAAAGATATCTTAATTTTTACTCAAGTTACAGCTTGCACAGATGAACGGACGGACAGACAGTCACTCGGATTGCAACTCGTCTCTTCATCCTGATCATTTTTATATTGTACTTGTACACATAACTGTATGTCTAACTCGATAAGTTTTAGGTAATACAAACAACCGTTAGGTGAACAAAACTATATATATTCTGTAGCAACATGTTGCGAGAGTATAAAAATATTGAATTTATGATTTATTATTAGGAAATTGTCGATTGCCGCAAGTTTTTTTGCTTCTTAAAAGTATTTTTTATTTCCATTTTTTCCAACAAATCGAATGCAATAAAGTGTTCGCTCCAAATTTTTTTTTAATTTGATACAGCAATGAAAGCTCTCTCGTTTGAGGATATTTCATTACTTTCTTCGGTAAAACTCTCAGCATCTGTATTATTATCATCAATAGTTTCTAAGTTTCGTCAATTACAACATCAAATCTGCGTTTTCGGTGCATATATATATTATTATCTATTGCGATAAAGTCATCTGACTAGGTTCTCCGAGGGTTTTTAACAATGAAAAAGTTGAAGCTAATGTCGCTAACGGCAAATCCTCTTCGGGCTCGAATTCTGATATTAGACTTCTATTTTTGTCAAACCCTGCTTTTTGAAAGCATATTTTATGGTTTCCGGTTGAACCTTTGCCCAGGCAAATAAAGGTTTTTATAAAACGTATTGCCTCTAAAACATTTATATATATTTTTTTTAGACGAGCCTTTCCATGCTTACTAATATATATCTTTAGCTTGAAAGTATAGATAATGAATTTAAAAATTTTGAATAATTTGGATCGAAGGCTGACAAACAGAAACATTTTAACACTTTTAAAACTTATCTCTTTTCGTTGTCTAAAAATAACAATATTTTTCTATTTTACAACTCCATTTTTTTGACAAAATCCTTCAGCCGCTGAGTCATTACGCCATTTTTGTAGCCAGCCGTTAGAAGCAAGATCGTCATTGGTGCCGGCTTTTGGGCGATCTTTTTTGCATTCAACTGTATTATTGGCCCAGATATGGGAATATTTTGGCTTCTCGCCTTGCTAAACTACTAGAAACACATTTCATAAAATTTTTTTCCCATCTGGTGTCACGAACGATATTTTTATTTCAACATTATCCCCGGACATCCATTTCATTCGAACAACTTGTTTGTAATGAGTGCAGCATTGGTTTTTCCAACTTTAAATCTGATAACAAAAATCGGACATATTTGCATTAAAATCTTCATATAAGGACTCATACACAAGCGGAATAAAAATGTTAAAGTACAAAAAAAAAATTTCATTTAGTAGGTACATACGAAGTACTTGTAAATCGGTTAATTTGGATTTAGAAAAGTTTTGACACGCGAAAAGTGTCTTAAATGTAATAATAATAATATTAATATTAATAAAATTTATATTTCGGCTGATGCGGAACAGACAAATTGATCATTTAAATTGTTTCCTTTAAGCTAAGGTTTGATCGCACCATCGTACGTTTTAACACAAGGACTGAACACTATTCACTGAGATAACCGAGTGTGCAATGCGTTGGAGTTGTTCCTAACGTACATTTGATTTTATTCAGGAAATCCCATTTTCATTTCGTAAATACATATTTATAGGAGTTCACGTCCGCCCAACAGAGGTTTTGGTTAAATTTGTTATGAAAAAAGTATCTCTTTTCCCGTTGAAAAGGATTCGTGACCGCTCAGTAGAGGTTTTTATAGGAGCTGATGTCAAAATGGACAATGGGCGTGGCACCACAATTTCAATCAAATTCGGTTAGTAACATAATCTTGACATTCCTCTGATGCAATGCGAAAATCGGCGAACTCGGACTACAACCACAACCACTTCCCATATAACACAAATTTACATTTCATCCGATTCTTTCACTATTAGCACTAACTTTGCATAAATAATGTCTTTAAGATATGTCATGTCAGGTCTAAATATTGTCCAAATCGGACCATAACTGTTTAAGGCCCCCATATTTTAATGAAAATATCGATCCATGTGTGAGATATATTTTTGAAATTCAGAGAGATGTCCTAATAAGTGAAAACTTGCCCTAGCTTTCTTCATATATTGGTCAATATGTATAGGTATATTACTAAAACTCAGAAATCATATTTTTCTGGTAATACAAAAATAGATAAAATAGGATCAATACTACCCCTAGCTCCCATTGGCTTTATACCGTATATATAAAAATATGAAAATTTTACATATTACAGTTTATTAAATTTTATATATTACAGTTTAATGCCGAAAATGTATGAAATTTGTGCACGTAGTTCCCAGCTCCCATATATTACTAATAATGATCTGCGTAATTTCAGCAGATTTTGTGCCCAATATGTCGATCAGTGTGTGAATTATCTTCACAAAATTACATAGAAACATGTGCTTGAGTGTACTTTAGTAATGGAAAAAATTAATGCAATCAGTCCAAAACTTTCTCTGCCCCCAATATGCCCTGTATAGTGATTTTTGACATTCCAGCTGACTTCAAACCAGTGGACCAGTTTTCTTAGATATTAAGTGGTTTGGTGGAATAAAATTTGTCTAGACCTTTGTCTAAACCTCATATCCCTAAAATATTGAATTCTGATCCTCTAGTTGACCATTTCCACATTAACTCAATAATTTAAATTTAGCCTCTTTGGTTAAGTTTATATCACATGTGTATTTCTCATTTAAGTGTAATATAATTTTAGTTGACGCGAAGTAAAACATAGTAATAAAAGATTTGAAAAAAATTTTTTTTGTGATCCCAAGTACGAGTTTAAAAATTAAAAAAAAAAAGTTTAGTCCCACAAACCAAGATTTAAAAAAAAAAAATTTAGAATTAACATTTTTTCGCGTTTGCTTACTTCGTGATCTACTATTTTAAAATAGAGCTCGCATAGAGCCATCATTTTCAATACTTAAGTAGTGATCGGTAGGGAGCTCATAGTCCACGGGTATTTTTGAGCTTTTTGAGCATGCGTGTGTTTCACACAGACTTGCTACAATTATTATACTGTAGCAACGAAACCATTACCAGTTGCTTTCTGACTACCATCGTATAGGGGGAGTAAAGAAACTATCAGCTGATAAGATGTAAACAAAGCGACAGCTAAGGGGTTTAAAAATGTCAATAAGAGTTCGGGGTTGAATTTCTATTGGCATCCAAGATGGCCGACTTTTGACCGGAAAATTATTGCATCTGGTTATTTTCTTAAAATTTATGGAAAAGTTGTTCCAAAAATATTAGATATTAATTAAGATTTATATTCATGTCTCTTTTTAACTGTGGCAAATAAATAAAACCACAGAAAAATGTATGGGGCAAATAATAACAAATTTCAAAGATTTCCACCACCTTGCGTTTACAAAAACAAGTATTTAACAAGTAATGAAGGGCTAAGTTCGGATGTAACCGAAAATTGCATACTGTTGCAACTCGCCAGGATCAAAGCCAAGGGAATACTTTAAGGTACATAAGGTTTGTTAGAACAACGAAAATCAATATATATGTAGTATATAGTAGTTTTGGTAATTTGTGGACCAATTGCATATATAATATAACTCGATTAGATGGAGGCGATATAAACAACCGTTAGGTGAACAATACTATTATACTCTGAGGCAACCTTTTGAAAAAGTAAAGAAATATAGCCTTAATCGTGGACATGCCAGATGGATGGAAAAGAATTCTGAAGTTAGTAGCAAAATTCCGATTTAAACATCATACTAAGATTATTCGAATGCAAATTTATGAGGCCAAAGGTCAAGAATACACACCCGCTTGGCTCACAGACCTGAGAGCATTTATAAAACAAAAACCGCGCTTGCAGAAACAAGTCCAAAACGAATGACAAGTCCTACGAAATGGAATTTAAGATTTTTACATAAACTTATTAAAATTATAATATTTTATATTTTATTTTTAACTTTTGTTATTAATAATCCGTATATAATTTATCACACCGTTTATATAATTGCGTATTTGACGATAAATTTTTAGATTTTTTTTTTTAATTGTACCTTGTGTAGAGTATTAAGCGATAGGCAGATTTTCTGCTTTATGTAATTCCAAATGTGCGTATATAAGTACTTATATATGAGCGCTGTTCGGAGAGAGCGAGAAATTGAAATTGGTAATGTGTTGATATCTTACCGTATGCACTTATGTTTATATGTATCAATTTATAGTATTGTACAAGTATATTAAAATAGATAAAATTGAATTTATGTATGTATATGTATTATTATATGTAAATAGTATACAAGGTGCGTTCCAAAGTAAACAGGACTTTTAAAAAATAGACAGGACAAATAGTTTAATCGGCAAAATCAATTAATTTTATTCAAAATAGTCTCCTTCTGCCTGAATACAACGTTTTGCGCGTTCAAGAAAGTTATAGAATGACTTTTTTAGGTCATTTGTCGGTATAGCGTTGAGGATGGCGGTCGTCGCCTTTTGGATGGCGGCAACGTCAGCATAGCGGTTTCCTTTCATGGCCAAATGTAGTTTTCCGAAAGAGTAGAAGTCGCACGGTGCCATATCAGGTGAATACGGGGAGTGGTTGATTGTTAAAATTTGATTTTTGGTCAAATAATCGGCCACATGCGTCGATCGATGAGACCGCGCATTATCGTGCAACAAACGCCAACTTCCATCTTCTTACTACCAAACGCTTCAAAACCCCAAGGTAGAATACCGCATTAACGCTTTGGCCGGGTGGAACAAATTCTTTGTGGACAATACCCTTGAAATCATAAAAACAAATCAGCATTGTCTTTACTTTTTTACTGTTTACTTTGAAACGCCCCTTGTATATGTAAATTTCTGGTTGATTTTTTTTTGTCTCTCTCTGTTAGATTCTCAATTTTCCTTGTTTTGACGCAAACCTGCTTATTGCTTTGTTAAGCATAAGGGGTATTGCCGGAAAAGTTTACAAGTAAATACTTTGGTATGTTGTTGGAAACGTAACGTGTGTTTTTAATGCACAAATGTAAGCATATAAGGCAATCACTTTATGTAATATGTTTATTTTCGATATATATTTTCGATGTATATACATGTATACACAAGGTAGAAAAAGTCTCCGCTCACTGAGTACCAAATCTTTTGATCTAAAATAAAAGTTTGACCAATTGGCCAATTAAAAAATTTTTTTTTGTGTTATTAAATCATATCTTTGCGCCTAAAAAAATTTACTTTTTTCAAATTATTCAGTAAACAAAAGCCACAGAGTTCATTTTCATTTTAAAAACAATTAACTTAAACAGAAAAAGTCCTCGCTTATCAACCAGAACACAATAATATCAAGTAATTATAAAAAGTTTAATAGCTGGTGGGGTAGCCTCGAAATTTTAGAGCTTCTGCTAGACGTTTAGGCATGGAGTGTACTAATTTTCTCTATCTTTGGCTGACATTTTACTCCATTCGCCCAATATAACGGTCTTGAGTATTTCTTTGCTGGTAATCGTATGTGTGCGAATTCTGCGCTCCAATAGAGCCCATAAATGCTCAATTGGATTGAGCTCAGGTGATTGTGGAGGCGAATGTAACTGTTTTGTAGCATTGTAAAGAAACCAAAGGCGAAAAAGTTTCGCTGTATGCTTAGGGTCACTGTTGAAAACAAAACACGTTTGACAATCCTAATTTGTCAGCACTTTGCTTCATTTGTCCTTTCAAAATATTTAGATAAACAAATTTATTTATTATGTTATATTTTTGATAAACTCAATGCCACCAACTCCACTTGCAGCCATACACCCCCTCAATTGAACTCCACCCCCACTATGCTTTACGGTTAAAGTAAGATTTCGTGCTTCAAAGACCGTACCAGTTTTTCGCCACACCATCTGTCTTCCTTTTATTCCAAATATACAATATTTGGTCTCATCCGACCATACAACCGATTTCCAGAAAGATATAGGCTTGGTTATATGTTCGTTTGCGAATGCAATGCATATACTTATATGCATACCTATATAAGTATATATATATATATTATATATACCAAACTGTTTTCGGCTTTTCCCGTAAATTAAAACCGTAAATGAAAACAGTTTGGTGACCGGTATATTTAAGTATTATTCTAGTTTTTTATATAGAAAAAAACGAAATTTTCCATACATCTATCTTCTATCTATACATATGTATGTACTTATATATAAAAATTAAATCCGTTTCCCGTTGTCACGCCATAACTTGAGAACGGCTAGACTGATTTGGCTCTTTTTATAGTTTTCTAATACTCTGTAGAAGTTTCTTCCTCTTATTAAGATAATGTCTCAGAAAGATTGAAAAAATACATTTAGTGTTGCATATTTTATAAAACGCGCGTAAGGAATGTCATCGTTATTCACAGCCATATACTATATTGAAAGAGCATCGTTTGTTGGGAAATGTGGTTACTTAATTAAATTCTAATTAATTGTATCGACTTTGCGGGTAATGTTAATAAAACATATAACTAAAAATATTGTTTATCAAAAAGAGTTAGAATAAACCTCAGAGCAGAGAAGGGTATAGACAGAGAATGTTAATAAATAGAGAAGGCGCAAATGTTAAATGTGCTAAAATGTTAATTAATAAATTTTAATGCTATTAAAAGGCGCAATTTCGAAAGCTCAATTACACCACATTAAAAAGGTACCTTGCCCTCATGATAATCGAACTCAACAAACTACACCACTCTAAGCAGAAACCAAGTAAATTGTCACCACCTTATAAAGGAACGGCTAATATACAGCTGTTGACAACTAATTAGAAACGCTGTCTATTTTAAAGTAAATGATGTTATTTTCTATTAAATCACGTATTTTTAAAAATTAAACTCTAACAGCAAAAATTTGATTTATAATTCGTTTTTATTCCAAAGGTTTATACCAAAACATGTGGAATTAACGATTTGAGTGCGACAACTAATTAGAAACGAAAAATTTTTATCAGCAAAAAATATGCTATACAAATTTGCTTACTTTCAGTTAGTATTTTGTTGCATAACCCTTTTGCTTTAATACTGCTTTACATCGATTGCGCATTGACGTTATACGACTTTGACAGCGCACCACTGGTATTGCTTGCCATGCCGTCCTAGTTTCATCAAAAAGGGCATCCATATTTGGGATATTTTTGATACTGACGGCTCTGTTAACATCACCCCTGAGATGTTCTATGGGATTCAAGTCTGGGCTGGACGATGGCCACTCCGAAACATTGATAGAATTCTCATCAAAAAACTTTTGTGTCAACTTTGCCGTGTGCTTTGGATCGTTATTTTGTTGGAATTTCCATACAGGAGGCAAATTTTCCTCAGCTCACTGCAACATGACATTTTTTACGATGTCAATGTATTTCTCCTTGTTTAAAATTTCTTCAATCCTATAGAGTAGACAAACACCAGTCCAGGAAAAATATCCCCACACCATAATTGATCCTGTACCATGCTTCACTACGCTCGAAACATAGCGAGGATCAAATTCTTGATTGATTGGTCGGCCTTCGACCATCAGGATCTATACGATTAAGTTTTGTTTCATCGCTCCAAACGACATACTTCCATTGTCTTGTAGTCCAAGACCAATGAGAGTTGGCAAAGTCTACGCGTCGTTTCCTTTGCATTTTAGTCAGAAGTGGTTTCTTTCGTGCTGCCCTGCCGTGAAGTCGAGATTCGACCAAACACTGGGCAACTGTTTTTTTGGATATTTGGACATCATATTCGTCTTGAATTTCTCGTAGAATGTCAGTAGAACACTTTTTTAGGTTTCTTTAAGAGATGGTAATGATTCTGCGGTATATTTCTGCTGAAGTTTTCCGGGGTATTTTTATGCGTGCAACATTGGAAATGGTTTTAAAAGAAGGGTATAGCTTAAGGGCATTGAAAACCATTATTTTAGAGCATTTGACCTGATTCGCAATTTCTTTGTACGTCTTTCCAGCCTGACGAAGGTCAAAAATGGAATTGCATAGGGCAGGTGTACAGCTGCTGCTTTTCCTCATTACAAAGCTTGAATATAACATTTTATTATATTTTAAACAACAACTTTGAAAAAAATACTTACCAGAAAGCAATAATATTATTATTAAAAATTCTCACCGTATGCAATTGTGCTACTTTAAATAACTGTTTCTAATTAAGTGTCGCACTTTATTTACCTTCTATAACGTGACGCATGTACTATGTGTAAAAAAATTAACAGTACTTCCACTGCACAACTACAAAACTGAGCGAATTTAGTTGTAAATAGAGTATCACAAACAATGCAAGACTTTTAGGAAAATAAATAAAGGTGTATCAAAACATTTTATTATCTTACTCATCAGCCACCTATAAAAAGGGAACGTTTCTAATTAGCTGTCAACAGCTGTATGTATACGCAGATGTTCTTTGGCATGTGTATTTAGGAACATTAGAATAACAAAAAGAAATAATACATTTTGAAGAACATTTATAAAATGAGGAAAAAAAGAAAATTCAATTAAAATAAATTTAATAAAAAAGGTTTATAAAAATTAAAAAAATAATAACACTAAGTACATCTGCGCAAGGATGTGAACTCAGGCAAATATTTGATGTGAATTTGCAAAAACGAGCTGTGCTATACAAGCAGCACCACAGAAGTGATAAAGAAATATTATCAAATATAATATGTGAACTGAAACAGCTATTGTTGTTTACTAGTTTCAAATGATCAATTTGTATGTGAATATTCTTGAAATTGCCTTTCCGTCATTCGCATCTGCAAATATATTTGCATAAATGTACACATATGTATGTACATAAGTATGTCCCTCAATATGCCTTTTGAAAAAAAATCAAACATTCGCGCAAGCAATCGACCAATAAGATTCGAGCAAGCATGCCCTATAGTTTCTACATATTTCATATTACAATAGTCCAGTCATTTAAGCTTAAATTAGGTAAGAATCGGAATTCAGATACCCAGCTGTAAGTCTGTAAATACTTGTATATTGACACCCTAAAAGTTGTCTCAAAACCTACATATGGTAGGGTGTACGCAACTAATAAATTTCAAGGTCAAAGGTCACAAAAATCGGTTTTTGCGCTCAATGTTGTAGAATACAAAATTCTCTACAAATTTTGTTTAAAAATTTTTTTCATACGGTGAACCGTTTTCGAGATAGAGGGCTTAGAGCGCGCGGTCACAGCATCACTTCAGGTCAACCGCTGCCTCCGATCAAAAACGCGCCATATATAGTTGATGAACTATCGATAAATCAATGATTATAAATATTTTTCAATTTTTATTAACTATTATATTATATTTTATCATTTTCTTCATGCCTTAAATCTTTATCTATTCAAAAATACTGATCACCGTTTCCTAAAATTAAAAAATAATGAAGGGAAAAACTTAAATCTTACTATAATTATATTCCCATTAACACTAATGACATTTTAATTAGAAAATAATTAAGTGCATCTTCTTTAAAATCTGTAAATTTGTAAATAATAGGACAAGATATTGATTTACTCATCATTTTAATTGGGCGTACACTGTCTACGAACAAGAAATTTTCTTTAAAAAGTTGGGAAGGCAATGTAAAACGGAGATATACTCGACTAAAAGTTTTGATTATTATCCTCATTCCAAAACACATATTTTATTTCTGCACGCATTAAGTGGATGTGACACAACTTCTGCACTTTTTAAAAAGGGAAAAAAAACATTTTAAAAAGTTTTTGAGAAACTGACCAATTTGGATGAACTAGCTGCAGCATTTGAGAAAGAAAATTGTTCGGCCCAGAGATTATTAGAGAGTGGAACTCAAACCTTATTGGCAGTCTATAATGCTTCGAAATCTGTGAAAAGTCTCGATCATCTTCGTTATATGCATTACGGCAAGTCTACAAAACTTAATAAACCTGTGCAGCTTTCAAATATTCCACCAACAAGTGCACCTGCTCATCAACATTTCGAACCAAGTTCAAACTTGGTTAGGGCATGATTTGGAACCCCAGGTATGGGGTTGGGCAATGCGAAACGATTTTCTGGAGCCTATCATGACAATTTTACCACCTGCTCCAGAACATTTGCTAAATACAATTTTCTGCAACTGCAAGAGTGGTTGTGGTTCGCGATGCGGATGCAGGAAAGCGGGCTTGCAATGCTCTTTAGCTTGTGGCCAATGTAATGGGCAAGCTTGTCTCAATGCTCTACCATATCAGAGCGACATTAACGAAGATGGAACTTTTGACCCCGAAATCATGGAAGAACTTGAAACAAATGTCGTTGAAGACGATAATGAAGACCAGTTTGAATTACCAGCAGCCGGAAGACGACGATGAAAAGAAGAAGATGATTAAATTATAAATTGTAGTTTTGTACCCTTTATTCCATTTTTACTTTTAATAAAATAAATGTATTGAATGATATTTTTAATATATTTTTATATTTTTATCATGTAAAAGTTATTAATATAATATTAATAAGGTTTAAATTCAAATATAATTTCTATATTTTCATTAACAATTCTGCAATTTCATGGGCAGGAAGTGTTGTTAAATAAATTAATACTGAATAAAAGTGGATAGGTTAGGAAAATGATAAATATAATATAATAGTTAATAAAATTGACAAATATTTATAATCATTGATTTATCGATAGTTCATCAACTATATATGGCGCGTTTTGATCGAGGCACGGTTGACCTGAAGTGATGCTGTGACCGCGCGCTCTAAGCCCTCTATCTCGAAAACGGTTCACCGCACGAAAAAAATTTTTAAACAAAATTTGTAGAGAATTTTATATTCTACAATATTGATAATAAACACCAATAGCAAAAAACCCATAGGAAATGAGATATTTACAAAAAAAAGCGCAAAAAACCGATTTTTGTGACCTTTGACCTTGAAATTTAATAATTGCGTACACCCGACCATATGTAGGTTTTGAGACAACTTTTAGGGTGTCAATATACAAATATTTACAGACTTACAGCTGGGTATCTGAATTCCGAGGTGAACTTACTATAATGACTGGACTACAACGCCAACAAATTCATTCATAAGGAACCCGCGTATGCTACAAAACGAAGAGTGATCGTTTATAACTCTGCTCTGCGTTCTTTTTGCTGTGCGCCTGGTCAACCAAATTTGATTTTCATATGAAAATCCTACCATCCCCCTCGCATTTGTATGTTGCCTACAAGCTGCTTCCTCACAACATTTGCTAAAAATCAGAAATTGAAGAATTTATCTGATATTCCCTTCAGAAAGGAGAATTGGCAACATGACCTATTAGCGATTTGAAATATTATTTTAATTTATTTCATATTATGCACTATATATGGCATTAAATAATAAAATTTCTATAAAATTGGCATTCATATGAAACCTTTTATTACTTCTATATATTCTAAGCACACTGCATATAATACTCATGTATAAATATATAGGTATGTTTACTTATTATTATTATTTCGTAGTTTTTCGATTTAGCCCATTTTATCTAAACACGACGCTATCAAAATACACCCCAATCGGTAGTCGTAGTATTTCAAAAGAGCATAAGTCAACTTGCAATAGCAAACCACTGCAAAAAGGAAAACGAGACAACATAGCCAACCGACATTGTCGCAAAATTGTCGATTCAAACAAATTTTGTCAACTCCGCGACGATGCGCTAAATTCAATATGTATGCGAGCTCATATCTATGTATGTATATACATATGTACATATGTTTGTGGACAAAGTCGTCATTTGGTTTTTTTCAACAACACAATGTCCGCGCGAACTCGCAGTTATTTCGTTGGCTTGCCACCATGTACAGAGGCGTGTCAAGTGAGGACTCATAATATATTAATATGTTGCTTAATTTGTATTGAAAAATACTAATGCATTAATGACTTATTTTCGTAATATAATTAATATATGTATACGTAAAAATATAAATACACATAAATTCATACTTATTTAAATGCTTTTAAAATAAATTCGATTATAAAAATATATCTGAAATAATTATGTGTATCAATATCTAAAATACATAACAATGAGCAAACTATTAATATCACAATGATATTAAGGTCAAAGATAACCTAGAACAAAATTTAAGTGCTATAGATAAGAACTGTATTTCAAACATCATAGATTTTAAGGAAGTACAATGCGAACTTGAAAAATTAGAAAACGCTGATGAATTTGTTCAAGAAATAGTTGTATTTAAAAACTTCAAAGATGTAATAACTCATGACTGTAGTAAAGTAAAAATAAAACAAAAAGGAACATTCTTGATCAAATTTGAGAACTGCAAGATAAATGCATTAAATAAAACTTATACCAATGTCAACCTAAAGATATATGACACACTTGCTTTACCTAACTTATTACAAAAATAAACGAAAGTAATAATACAAAACTAAATTTGAAAATTTATACCTAAAACAACTACAGCAGGAGAATAACATAAAAATATTAGTCGGTAATAGTAGAAATACACATGTAATTAGTCTAAGCACAGATATGGCAATTATAATTCTCTTCATCATAGCATTTGTTTATAAATTAACATAAGCGGAAATGGTACATAGTATCAAAGCCACAAATAATGTCCCAAATGAGAAAAACGGACCATTTCTACAAATTTCAACACCCCAATTAAATTAACTATAAAATCGATTGAGGACAAAGAGTTAATGCAAACAATTATTAAAACCAAAATAAATACAAAAAGCAATACAGCAATTGTCAAGCTATGCCAATGTTTATGAAAAGACTTTGCAACTAATTTAGCTTTAGAACTAAGTAATGAAATGTAAAAAGAATATAAAACTACGAAAAATTGTAAGTGACGGCAGTTTTATTTGGATAACAATAAAGAGCGGTCACACTGACCAAGAAAAGAAACCTGTGTGTTTTTTTACTTCCTTTACAAAGGAAGACATTAATTTATATAATTAAATACAAATATGTATATATGTTTTGTTTCTTTATGCCTCTGTTTTTGTTTTATATTTAATTTTGGATCTGCTATTTAGCCTCTGCTTACTTATTTTATGTAATCCTGCTTACTGTTTTTTTAAGCATATGTAAATTTGTAAGTAGAGTGTGTTTGAGTATTCAAAAGTAAGCGTATATAGGCTAGCACTATTTTTTTCCAAACTGTTTGGTTTTTTGTCGGTATTTCGATTTTTTTTTTGTAAAATCCAAATCATAAATTGTAACCGTTAGGTACCAATTTTGTAATTCGGCCCAAACGAATTTTTTATTACAGGTTTTATAAATTATTATATAAAACTATATGTTACCACTCACTTTATCTTAACTCAAGGGTTTTTTGGGGAGATAATATACATAAGTAAGTATGTACGTCTGTGTATGCAGTTTCTGCAATTTATATTCTTCCTCCAGCTTGATAGTTCAAACAGTCACCGACGCTAAACCAAAGACCGAATCAGCTGATACGACCTATCTTATGAGAGCGCAATGTAAATGAACTCTTACCGCCGCTTTTACCATTCGCTTCTACAGATCGTACGGTAAGATATCCGCGAAAATTGGATTTTTCGTGTAGAAACGAGTGAGCTGAGAGTAAGAGAGCAATATCTTGCAACGCAGGTTTGCCAATCTCGATATTGTGTAGTAATTCAAAAATAAACTTGAATATATTTGAAATATTCTTTAAATAACTCAAAATCTCAGTCGAATACATTTATTTATAAATAGGTAAACTATTCTTAGCAGTTGGATTTTAGTTTTGAGCTTTTACATTATGAGAAATTATAACTAAAAAATTAAAAGTGTGAAAAATCGTGAAAAAACTGATTTCTGCGTTGCAACTACGGACATAACTTTTGACAAATATGGTTTGATACGGGCGGTAAGTACGGAAGGGACGGATATCGGTGGCTGTTTGCGCTATTAGAGTGTTGCTTGGAGTTTTTGTTGAATGTTTATATGTTTAATTCTTTGTTTTAAAAATCGCTCCCGATTTGTATTTTTTGTGTGTTTAAGCAGTGTTGTTATTTTTATACTCTCGCAACCTGTTTCTACAGAGTATAATAGTTTTGTTCACCTAACGGTTGTTTGTATCACCTAAAACTAATCGAGTTAGATATAGCGTTTTATATACCTATATACATAAATGATTAGGATGAAGAGACGAGTTGAAATCCGGGTCACTGTCTGTCCGTCTGTCCGTTCGTCTGTCTGTGCAAGCTGTAATTTAAGTAAAAATTCAGATATCTTTATGAAACTTGGTACAAATGATTCTTGGTACCGTAAGATGGTTGGTATTGCAGATGGGCGTAATCGGAACACTGCCATGGCAACAAAACGCCATTAATCAAAAACAAATAAATTGCCATAACTAAGCTCCACAATAAGGTACAAGACTGTTATTTAGTATACGGGATCACATTAGGGAGGGGCCTCTACAGCTTAAATTTCTTTTTAAAGTGGGCGTGGTTCCGCTTCCTAAAAGGTTTAATGTGCATATCTCCTAAGCCGTTCAAGCTATAATAACAAAATTCACTAAGAACAAACTTCTCTCTCTAACTATCAACAGTGTGGAAATGGGTGAAATCGGGTAGCAACTCCGCCCACTCCCCATATAACGGTACTGTTAAAAATTACAAAAAGCGCGATAAATCAAGCACTAAACACGCCAGAGGATGGTATGAGATGTGTGGCACCACCTACTTTTATATGAAAACCCATATCTTGAGATCTGCTTAACCGATTTCAACCAAATTCGGTACATGACATTCGTTTTGCATTTCTCTGTTATAGTGTGAAATTGGTATACAACCACGCCTATTTCTCATACTTGTATAACACCATTTTAAATTCCATCTGATTATTTTACTTTCCACTATGCAAATCAAGCCAAAATGATTGTATCGGGGTAAAACTTTGCGGGGTAAAAATTTGCGTTTAAAATATGCAATTTAGTGACCAAAAATTGTCTAAATCGAACCAAAACTGTTCAAGCCCCTAGGTACTGAATATGTACACCCCAGTACCTATAGTTGACTTTTTACCGAAAATATCGGTCAATGTGTAAGATATATAATTGAAATTCATATAATAAAATAAATAAATGAAACTTTCGATAATAGTATGTCTTTGTGTCAAAAATGGATGGAATCGGATCAGTATTTCCTTCAATATAAAGTTTTGACAACACCTGAAGTCATTTCCCGGGCTTTGATTCTTGCAAGTTGCGAGAGTATAAAATGCTCGGTTGCACACGAATTTAGAACTTCCTTACTTGTTTTTATTTCGTTTTTGTTATATATACAAGTATGTATATGTATACGCAATACACTAGATTTATACATTAATGTGATGTGGTTACTGTTTGTATTTGCACTGCACCTTTGTAGTAGGTTTTTTTTGTGTTTTAGCTTTTTCTACTGAATAAATGTATGTAGGCATTTTTTTTTAGTTCCACTAGTTTACTGGATATTTTGAATATACACTGGGTAGAAAAAGTCTGTGTACAAGGTAAAAACAAAAATAAATTTTTGGAAAAAATTACTTTATACACTTTTTATAAAAACAATTTATTTGATATTCATTAAAGAACATTAAATATGTAATTTTATGAAAATAAAAGTGAATAAATAGCCGACATTAACATATAAGCAAAACGAAACATACGGACAAATAGAAAATCCATCAGAAAAAGTCTGCGTACAAGGTACATAATACCGAATCGAATGAAGTTATTATTCCCACGAATTCTTCTTAAAATTTAATAGGAAGTTGAAGAGCCCTACCGTTTTAAAACTTCCGCTAAAGGTTTGGCATGGAATATACAAGTTTAAAGGTTTCTGTCGAAAGTATGTGAGCCCATTCCTCGTGCAGCACATCCTTGAGCATATCATGTGAGGTTATTGTGCGTTGGCGGTTTTTACATACCAGTGAATTTTATGGACGCTATTTATAATTAAAATCTAATGATTCTGGTGGTGTTTGAAGCTGCTTGGGAAATTTGTAGAATAACTAAAGCTTAACTACATATGTCTGCAGTATGCTTCGGGTCGTTATCCTGTAGAAAATAGGGTTCACTTCCAAGACCAAATTCTACCGCTCTTAACTTCAAATTTATTTTTAAGATATTAAGGTATGCATATTTAACCATGGTGGACTCTATCAACTCCATGGTGCTTATTGACGACAACCTTATGCACTTACCTTATGACTAGCGATATGACATTGGTGTCAGTGCAGAGGGATTTCTTAGAAGTTTTTTTAACACTTTGATCGATTTTGGATGCAGTATATCGAAGGTTTTGCTTCACACTTTGCAAAACGTAACAAGTTTCACGCTAAGCTAGAATTTTTGGCCACCCTGGACGCGACGAGAGACAAAAACGCCGGTATATTTGTACTTTTTTATTACTCTTTGTATGAAAAAAAGGGTTCTCCCAACTTCTTTTCGTAACTTGTAAAATGTTCGTTTTTTTCTTAATTTCTGCCGTTTTAAATATTTGGCTTTCTTAGTCACTCTTTGAATAGTTGATTTGCTAGCTTTAAAACTTGTTTCTTCTTGAATTTTCGCCACGGAGTAGTGGGACTTGGAAGCTCTTCCAATGGACCTCCGGTCTGCTTCGGTAATAACACGATTATTGCCGCCTTTGAAGTTCTTTCTATATGTTTCTTTATATCGAAGAAACTGGCATTTGTTTTTCGATGTCCTCCCGTTTTTTCCGCTATTTTATGCAAATACATTCCACACTCATGAAACGTTTCGATTTTGAATTTTTCCTCCAAAGCTAAAACAATTTCTTTTCCTATATTGTGCACCAATTTGAAGAAAATTTTTTAGTTAAAGACAATAAAAATTTTGGTGACCGTGGTTGAAAAACTCACCGAGATAATATAAATCGTATTTGGGGGCTCTAATCTGATGATGCAAAACACGTATATTCTTTTTCATCGAATATAAAACAAAGCAAGAAGAACTACATAACGGTACTTCCCATGCGCTCTATTTTACTGTTAGAGAAAGAGAGTCTGTCGATTTGAACGCAACAACAACAATTAAGAATTCGTTTGCAATAGAAACATAGTTAAGAGAGAGTCGAAGGACTACGAGTATGTTTAATTAGGGACCCAATTTTTTGGGTAGCGCACACCACTATATTTCCCCATTTCAACTTTCATAAAGGAAAAATGACAGCGTATTAGACGTATACACTTTATTTGACTTAATTTTATGTTTAATTTTACGCAAGGAAATGTATCGAGTAAGTATAGAATTGTTCAAAGTAGCGCATCGGTGTTGTATTGAATTGACTAGAGCTCGAGGGATTGTTGTGACGTTTATAACCCAAAATGAAGTTGATGAGGGCGAAGGTTATTCTTTACGGTGTAACTATGTCTATCGGAATCGAATCAGGTTGCAGAACGAGTAGCGCACAGGATCTTTTATGGATCGAATGTGGATAGTCGGAAGCTGCTGCCCGTAGCGCGAAGGATCGTTTTCTTATCGAATGAGGTGTATCCGGTGTGAGGCCACTATTTTTCTTGCTGAGTGTGGTGGTGTTACTAGGTATGGTGTGTTGTAATAGGGTGCGTCAGTTTTTTCCGAATAGAGTGGTGAGTAGTGTACACGGATTAGCTCATTTAAACCACTATTTTCAATTTTAGTTATAGAATGACGTTTAATGCTATTAATAAAAAATTAAATTATATCATCCTGACATACAGAGATAAATATGCGGTATATATATATATTTTTTTTTTTTTTCAATTATACTATGAGCTTTTTATTTTACTATACATTTTTAATCACAAACTTTATTTTCATTTTATATTTCAACATTAACAACCCTGTGCATAAAACAAGTTACCATATTATTATATAGTTCTAGGTTTAGTATTAAAATATTTAGACT